TGTTTCTGAAAAGTAAAAAATCCCAAGAAGGAATAACAGAAATGGCATGCTTTATCCATCTTGCTTAGTGAAAGAGCTTCAGTAAAAATTGTTTAACGTAACAAGTACAATGGATATTGTCATAAACTGTGTTAATTTTTTTTAAGAGAAATTTTTGCTATAGGGCATGTGTGCTCACTGGAAAGACAGAGGGAGACAGAGAGACAGAAAACGAGAAATCAACCCCTAGGGGGAGGGCAATGCTGCAATCCCCTATCCTCCATTCTCCTCTCGGGATCTTAGGCACACACGCACGCGCACCCAGCATGAGTTTAAGTCACCGGGTCCAGGACTCGAACTGCAAACGACTATGTGGGAGCACAGTGATGTAACCATTATGCCATCTGCTGGCCCCAAACTGTGTTAATTTTTGAAGCAGTCTGGGTGTTGATTACTAGGAGCATCAAAAGTATGTTCAGGATTATTTTGATACCTATATTTATAATAAAAAATGTTGAGGGTTGTATTGATGAATTTCTGTTAAAAGCTATTCTTGTGTGTTACATGTAACAGACATAGTTAATCCTATTTACAGTTTTGTTTAACAAACCATGCATTCAAGTTTAAGTAAAGTAAACAAAAAGGAAAAAGATGTATGGATATGTGATTTTGAGATTAAAGTTAGTATTAAAATGTAAATAAAATGTAGAACGTGTAAAAAATAATTCCTATCTACAAAGCTGTATTATACCAAAAACAGTGCTTTTATACGATTACAGAACCTTACATGTATGTGTGTACACTGCTCTATTGTTGTCAAATTGTTTGAAGCATACACTGGTGTATATTGATCCTTTATAGCTAAGTAAGCATCTTTAATTGTGCATGTGTGCCCAAAACCCTGAAAGGAGAATGGAAAAGGGACTTTGGCATGGCGATCCCCGCAGGGGGTAATTTCTCACTTTCCTTCTCTCTGTCTCTGTTGAATGCACATGCCCTATGGCAAAAACCTAAAAAAATTTTTTTTCTATTCTGAAAAGGGGTTGGCATTTGGATTTAGGAGGCCTAAGGGCCTTAGCACTCATTTTAAGTCTACCTAAAACACCTTTCCCAGGTTCCTAATGATTCATTCTGTTGCTTCGTTGGGTCTCAGCGCCAATGTTACCTCATGTCACAGAGACCCACCCAATACTCCCTGCCTGTAATTTTCCTTTGTAGATTTATCACCATTTGATACATTCTATATTCACTTACTGACTTAATTGTTGACTATCTTCTCCCACAAGAATATAAGCCCAAGGTGGGTAGGGGCTTCGTTTTATATAGTACTTGGCACCTAGAAAAAGCACAATAACTCATTTGAGTCAGTGAACGAATGCTTGGAAAGAGATGACAAGACCGTCTCACAAACTCTGGAATGATAGAACTCATCACTTATTACACTCACATGAGCTATGGGAAGAGATATTTCTCAATTCTGCTTCCACTTTGGCCAAGATTAAGCATGGAACCAAAAGGCAACCCATGAAATTTTCTTTTAGAGAAGACACCCTGTACCAGTTATCAGCTGGCTCCAACAGCCTGCCCAAAGGACAAAAGGCTTATCTAGGCTGTAAAGGGGTATGATCTGTCTCCTTTCAGAACCTTGAGAAATACGCTTGCTCCTGGCCAACACAGATTGAGTAACTTTCCCTCCGGGACATACATTACTCCAGAAGAGGAGTGGAGGCTTTGAAGGAGTTGCATAAATGCTCCAGGTCACCTGTGTTCACCCCAGGCTCTCTGGTGCAGATGAACTGGGTGTCCTTGAGAGACAGGAGAGTTGATAGCGCTGGAGGTAGCTTGACATTTCCTTCTGTATCAGAATTGAGCCAAAGTCCCAACTTTTACCTTGGGGACACTACGAGAGCCTCTCACTCCTCTTTAACCTTGAGCCTCCTCACCAGTGAACTCAGTTATGCTGAGCTTCTTCCTCTCCAGAAGTCACTTTCCGTTCCAATGTCCTACAAACCTTCCGTCTTCTACCCTACTGCCACCTTTTTGCAGATGATGAAACTGAGGCACATAGGACAAACAGGACCTATGTTAAATGCAGAAACAGGATCACAATTCAGGGTCGATGTTTTTTCCACTATGGACTTAAATTTTCTCTTGCTCATGGGTCTCAACCTTGTCAGTTTCAAACTTTTTGATCATGGAGTCTCTTGGTGGGAAAAAGATTCCCTGGGTGGTTCAAGTATGTGGTGGTGTCAAACTTTACTGCTAGGTAGAGAGAATGGACACAGAAGAAAAAAGCCAAAACCAGAAGTGTCCCTTAGGACATTGCTTTGAGACTCAGGTGCCAGTTTCTGTAGAAACTACTCACTAAATTCATGAGGTAAATGGTGTTATTATTATTATTATTATTATCTTGGACAGGTTTTTGCCATAGGATGCGTGCGCTCGCCAGACAGAGAGAGACAGAAAGACAGAAAGCGAGAAATCACCCCCCCAGGGGGGATGGCCACACCACAATTCCTTCTCCTCCATTCTCCTCTCAGGGTCTTGGGCATGCATGCACACGTGCCCGGCGTGAGTTTTAAGCCACCGGGTCCCAGATGCGAACTGCAGTCAGCTATATGGGAATCCAGCAACATAGCCATTACACTAACTGCTGGTCCTAATGGTGTTATTTTTAATGACAAAAATAAAATTAGCATTCATAACTTTATTAAATATCGTGAATAATACATTGATTCATTAAATTATTCATTAATGACAGATTTAATAGTAAGACTGGATTACATTAGTTCCTTGACAAAATAACACTAATTTGCGCCACAGATTTTAAGGAAATTTTACGGTTTGAGGTATTTTACTTACTGTATTTTCAATTCTATGATAAAACTAATCCCTGGGACAGCTGGTGGCCTGGTAGATAAGACTGGAACCCACATGGTCAACTGCATGGTTCGAGTCTCAGAATAGAAGGCTTGAAAGACATGCCAGGTGTGTGTGAGTGCTCAAAATTCTGAAAGGAGAAATGAAGAAGGGGTTGCAGCATGACCATCCCCCATTGTGGGGGTGCTCTCTCTCTCTCTCTCTCTCTCTTCAGCTCCCTCTCTCCCCCTCCCTTCCTCTCTAAGCGATCTAAGCGAGTGCAGAGTGAGTGTCTCCTAGCCATTGAAAAACAACCACAAAGAAAGAAAGAAAGAAAGAAAGAAAGGAAGAAAGAAAGAAAGAAATTCTAAAATATTCTAACTCTTCCAGAGGAGTGCACGGTGCTCCCTAGCAATTGAAAAACAAATGCAAAAAAAAAAAAAAAAAAAAAGAATCCTAAGATATTCTAACTCTTCTTTCTATTATGTTCAATCACTTTTTTATCTAGCTCCCTTTGTTGTCCAAAATGTATCTACCTCTGTTGTTCTCACTTTATTCTTTTCCATGGCTAGATAGTTCAGGGATTACTATCTTGACCACAGAATATGGGGAAATTGGAACACACAGATGTTAAGAGATTGCTAAACAGAGAAACTCTGGACTCCATGTGGCCCCTTCTTACCTTCCATTCAGCCATGCTTGTCAAATCTGGGTAAGCAACGCAGAGCTGGCATGCACGGCCCTCAGGATACAGCACTGCCCTGATCTGCAGAACTGAACTCCCTAAATGGTTCACTAGTGAAGGGATTCACCCATAAATGGCAAAGATTTCATTTTTGTTTGTAACCAAAACTTCCAAATGACACAAGACAAAAAAGAGATTTATGAGAGCAAATACATAGAGATAGAAGTAATAGTCAACAGATCTATGAAACTGGCATCAAGATTATGTAGTAAAGAGTCTGTGGAAAACTCTGAGATACTTCAAGGAAAGTTTCATATCATCTTGTCTTTAGTGTATTAGGTAGCAGAGATTGTACCAGAAATGATGATGACGACTAATACAAACTGAGTACTTACCGTCTAGTACATACGATTTCATTTAGTCCTTCTAGGGTACTAAGTGCCCAGTAGATATCTCTTTTAATCCTTCTTGTAATAACCCTATGCAAAAGGAGCTATTTATTTTATTTTATTTTATTTTATTATTTTTTCAGTACGAGCTATTTTTGTTCTCACTTAGGTGAGGACTCTGAGGCACAGAGAGGTGACATAAACTTGTCCACACTCCCTAGGCTAGTAATATAGTTCTTAGGCATGAGATGCCATAACTGTGGCCATGTGAAGGAACTCTTTTTTGGAGAGAGATATTTTTTACTATAGGGCACATGTACTTGCTAGAGAGACAGAGAGAGAAGAAAAAGCGAGAAGTCACCCCCTGGAGGAAATGGTCACTCCACAATCCTTCTCCTCCATTCTCCTCTGGGGATTTGGGACATATATGCACAGGTACCCAGCATGAGTTTCAAGCTGCCAGGTCCGGGACTCGAACCATAGTCGCCCATGTAGGAGTACAATGCCTTAACAGCCATGCCACTTGCTGGCCCTAAGGGTTGTGTTATTTATTCATTTATTCATTTAAGAGGCTTTTGCCATAGGGTGCGTGCGCTCGCCAGACAGAGAGAGACAGAGAGACAGAAAGCGAGAAATCACTCCCCAGGGGAGATGGCCACGCCACAATCCCTTCTCCTCCATTCTCCTCTCAGGATCTTGGGCACGCACGCACAAGCGCCAAACGTTTTAAGCCACCAGATCCGCGATGCGAACGGCAGTCGACTGCATGGCAGTCCAGCAACATAGCTATTTAGCTATAGGGTACATGTGCTTGTCAGAAAGACACAGAGACAGAAAATGAGAAATCACCCGCCTACCCGGGGATGGTGGTGGGGGGGATGGCCACACCACAATCCCTTCTTGTCCATTC